CCCCCCCCCCCCCCCCCCCGGAGCACTGCTTTACCACGTTATATCCAAATTCTTGTTATATTGGGTCACGTTATATTGAGGTAGCTGTGTAATTGCTGTCCTCTCAATGCAGAATATGTAGACTTTTGCTAAGAACGTCTTGAGTTTAACTGTGAAAAATGTAACAGTAAAATCCAAATCCATCTCAGTGGTAAACAAGATGTGAAATATGTGCATGAGAGACAGGCTGTGTCTACACTACAATCTTAAGTCGACCTATGTTAGGTCAACTTACAGCCACCACATTAATTACTGCAATGGCTGATGTCCACAATACTCTCCTTCTGTCGGTGGTGTGTGTTCTCACCAGGAGCTCTTCCACCAACTGAAGAGCCAATTGAGAGCCCAGCTGCCCGCTGGGGCTTCTTGCCTCCCCACTCCCAGCCAGGGGCAGCGGCGCGGGGATTCTCACCTCCGCGCTCCCAGCCAGGAGCCACCAGGGGCTTCTTTGCTCTGGCAGGGAGAGCCACACCCAGAATCCGCATGGGCGGCGGGTATAATAGGCCTTGGCCACCAGACCCCCGGTTGTGGGGGTTGGCACTGAAGTTTTTGCTTTATTATGCCCCATGCAGGTTACGGGGTGGCTGAGGAGGCACATACCTGCCTCCTCAGCCGACCCGGAACCTGCATGGGGCATATCAAAAGCGTCTTCTAACAGCCGCTTTCCCCCTGTGCGGGTTGGGTCCGGGGAGGGGAGGCACCGTGTAGCTTCAGCTAGCCCAGGACTCCTACAGGTATGGAGGGGGGAGGCTTGGGGCTCCTCCAGGTGGGTGGCTTCAGCCAGCCTGGGGCTCCTCCGGGCGTGCGGCTTCGGCCAGCCCAGGGCTCCTCGACGCAGGAGTGAGGAGCCCGCGAGGCAGCCCAAGCCAGGAACTTGGGTGTTAGCCCAGCTTGGAGCAGAAACCCAGCAGAGCCTGGCTGGGGAGCTGGGAGTCGGCTTTCTTGTCAATTTCATGGCTCCTGCGGACATGCCCTATGTGTCTCATCGAGGTGGTTTTATTATGTCGGCATAGCAGGGAAGTTACATTGGTGGCAGGAGCATTTCAGTGTGCACACCTCAACTGTTTTGTCGATAAAAGCTGACTTTCGTTGACAAAACTGTGTGATGTAGACAAGGCCTAAAATAGGGCTGTCTACCAGAAATCTGTATTCCAAACTTGTCCTGTTTGGGCACTGTGGGTGCTCGGGGGATGGGGGGGTGGCCTGGGACCCCAGCTTATGCTGGGGGGATGCAGGCAGTGCATGGCCCAGGATCCCCATTGGTGCTGGGGGAGGGGTTGGCACCACACAGCCCGGGACCCCCACTGGTGTTGCAGGCCAGTGGGAGCTGCGGAGCCGGCTCTTGTGGTAGGAGCAGTGCACAGAGCCCCCCAGGCCTTCCCTTCCCCTAGGAGCTGCAGGGACATGTGGAGCTGGGTAGGGAGCCTGCCAGCCCTGCCAACCCTCCCTCCCCTCAACACCAGCGGGGGTCCCAGGCCGTGTGGCGCTGCCCACCCCTGCCCACCTCCCCCCAGCACAAGCAGGGGTCCCAGGCCACCCTCCCAGCACCCACAGTGCCCCCCAGCCACCCCCCAGAGCACCCACGGACCCCTGCCCAAGTTTTAGTTAGGGGTATATAGTAAAAGTCATGGACAGGTCATGGGCTGTTTACTGCCTGTGACCTGTCTGTGACTTCTACTAAAAACACCCATGACTAAAACGTAGCCTTAGTCATAAGTTGTAGTCCTTGGCTCCTTCAATAGGATCATTGTACATCGGATGTCCCTCGATGGGCCATCAAGCAGGCCTAGTGCTGATGCCAATCTATCCGGTGGTGTCACCCAGAAACACAGGCCAAGTTTGGAATACAGATATACCATACATATCTATGTCATAATACAAAGGTGATACAAACATATAAACAAGATTATCATACCTGGCCGATTATAACATTTTCGCAGATACCTCACATGACATAGTTGGTTAGATTCCTTGCAGTTTTATAATATTGACATGAAAAATATCATAAAGTGTCCCACATAGTCCATACAGCATCACACAAGTGTCCCCCAATCTTGTTACTATGTAATATCTTCAAAATGACA